CTGCTCCTCTCTCAGAATTTCCTAGCATGTCTGGAGACAGTGTGACTGAAGCAGCCACTGTCAGGAGGAGCCAGAACCACTGCTCCCACCAGACAGTGTGCCAGCACTTGTTCACTGTTGCAGAGTCAAAGGCCAAGGGAAGGCGAGGTGGGATGGCAGCTGCTGGGGGAAGCTGGGCCCCGCCTCCATGGGAAGGCTTTGACCACTTCCATGTTTGCCTTTTCTCCCCTTGACACCCAGCCTGGCCCTTCTCTTTGCAGTGGGTACATGCATGTGGAAAGTGACAGCATGAGTATCGTAGGCATAGAAGCCAGAAGCGTTGGAACGAGTGTTCTGAGGTCATTCTGCTTCAAAGTGGAGCGTGGCTGAGAGGACTGCACCATATCCAAGATATTTTCACTTTGGTAAAAGGGCTTGTAGAGATACAAAGACTGAATGGGTTATGTCATGGGTATTGGGAAAGGAATGAGAAATGCCTAGATGTCGACACTGTCCCAGGCACCGGCAATGGCTTTGCTCTTGAATTCTGTCAGCAAGCCAGTGAAACAGGTGCTATTGTTCCTGCTTTTTACACAAGGAACACAGAATGAGAGAAGGAGCCTGTTAGTAGCCCATCTTGGAGCTGCTGAGCAGCTTGCACAAGCCCATAGAGACAGTAAGAGACAGAGAATGGGTAACTTAAGTGTGTGGGTACTGACAAGTGCACATTGAATGTACTGGGATTATGATGTGTTGTTGTTGTTGTTGTTGTCCAATTCTGTAGTTAAATACATATTTTTCTCTAATCTGTCTTGTGTGCTTTTGTTCACATGAACACGTAGTTTTTGCTGCTGCAGCATTGATAACTATGGTACTGCTTGATGACTTAAGGTCTGCCATTCTTGCTTTAGCCTCAATGGCCCTGCCTGGAATTGGTCAGCATAGGTACTTTGCTTGGGCTAATGAGAATTTCCCAATTGTTAGTTGTAAGCAAAATTGTTAGTTGTAAGGGCTGGGCCGAGGCTGATCCAGGGCTAGGCCGTGGCTGATCCTGGGCTGGGCCATGGCTGGGCTGGGCTGGGCTGGGGCTTGGCCGGGGCAGGGCAGATCTGGGCAGGGGCTGGATCCAGGCATGGGCTGGGTCTAGTCCGGGGCTGGGTCAGGGCTTGGCCGGGACTGATCCAGGACTGGTCCGAGGCTGATTTTGGTCTGGGCCAGGGCTGGGCTGCAGCTGAACCATGGCTGGTTGGGGCGGGGCTGGGCTGGGGCTGCATTGGGGCTGGGCAGGGGTTAGGATGGGGCTGGGTTGGGGTTGGGCCACACTGGGCTGGGGCTGGTCGGGGCTAGGCAAGGGCTGTGTTGAGGCTGGGCCGGTGCTGGGCAGGGGCTGGGTCGAGGCTGGGCAGGGCTGGGCTGGGGCTGGGCTGGGGAGAACTGGGCTTTGACGGGGCTGGTCTGGGGCTGGTCTGGGGCTGGTCTGGGGCTGGTTCGGGGCTGATCCAGGGCTGGGTAGGAGCTGACCATGGCTGGTCCGGGGCTGATTCAGGGCTGGGTCGGGTTCGGAGCCGGGGTTGGGCCAGGGCTAATCCAGGGCTATTGCAGGGCTGGGCAGGGACACAGCATGGTCTGGCCGGGGCTTGGCCAGGGCTGATCCGGGGCTGGACCGGGGCAGAGCTGGGGCTGGGCTGGGGCTGGGCAGGGGCTGAGAAGGGGCTGAGCCGGGGCTGAGCCAGGGGTGGGCCGGTGGTGGGCCGAGGCTGGGCCGGGGTGGGCCCGGGCGGGGCCGGGGCTGAATCAGGGCTGGCAGGGGCTGATCCAGGGCTGGGCCGGGGTTGGGCTGAGGCTGGGCTGGGGCTGGGCAGGGGCTGAGCCAGGGCTGATCCAGGGCTGGGCTGGGGCTGAGCAGGGGCTGGGCAGGGGCTGCGCAGGGGTGGAGCAGGGGCTGGGGTGAGGCTGGGCCGGGGCTGGGCCGGGGTTGAGCAGGGGCTGAGCCAGGGCGGATCCGGGGCTGGGCTGGGGCTTGGCAGGGGCTGGGCAGGGGCGGAGCTGGGGCTGTGCTGGGGCTGGGCCGGGGCTGGGCTGGGTCTGGGCCGAGTCTGGGTTGGGTCTGGGCAGGGGCTTTCTGGGGCTGATATGGGGCTGGACTGGGGATGATCTGGGGCTGGGCAGGGGCTGGCTGGGGCTGGGCTGGGGCTGGGCTGGGGCTGAGCTGGGGCTGAGCCAGGGGTGGGCTTGGGTTTGGCCGGGGCTCGGCAGGGGCTGTGCCGGGGCTGATTCAGGGCTGGCAGGTGCTAATCCATGGCTGGGCCGGGGCTGATACACACAGTACATTCTTATTATTTATAGACATCCCTTCTTCCCCCTGTTCCATGGAACCTGATCATCAGCAGTTGGGTTGTTTCTCTTCGCAGGCAGCCTGTGCTGAGGGGAACCTCTACGCTCTGATGCTGCCTCAGCTGCAGCTGGTCTCCAGAGTGACTGCATTTCCCAATGTTCCCGTGCAGCTCCTGTCTTCTCCTGACTGCCAGTGGGTGTTTGCGTCAAGTCAGAATTCAGACCTTGAGCCGAAGGTCAGTGCTTTGTGAGCCCTTCTCGTTGGAGCCTGGCTTCCTGGGAGGAGGAAAAGGCTCTGTACTCCAGGAGTTGTGAGCTGTGGACTCAAGGCAGCTGCTTGTGCAGGAGCATAGGCACAGCCTGGCGGGTGGAGCCTGCTGGAGTGTTGCTCACTGTGAGTTGCATTCTGTCCTTTGCCCAGGTCTGTTCACCCTAGCAGAGTCCACTCCTGGACCTGGCTCATGCCACTGCAGCCTGTGCTTTTTGGCTGTGAGTCGGCTGAGTAGGGGTCGATTCAGAACAGTTGGGGGTCCGAGGATCTTGGTGGAACTTCTCAGGAACTGCTTGAGTGTCTGAAAGTTAGGAGGGGTGGGCAGGTCAGGTGTGGAGAATATCCTGGTGGCACGGAAGGTGCGTGCACTGATGCAGAAGGCAGTGTTGCAGCTGGGCTGTGTTCCTTGTGTTGCATTTGTGAGTGGGTGCCTCATCCCCATCCTCTGCGTGCCCGGGAGTTAGAGTTCTGACTCCATGTAGACACACACGCCTGTTCATGTGCAGGAGGCGAGCTGCCTGATTGACGACAGGAAGCAGACTGCTGGCTGTAGTGTGTCAAAGAAGGCGGTCAGAGCAAGGAGAGTGGCAGGGCTGGAAGGGCTGAGAGCTTCATCAGGCCTGCAAGTGAGGCGTGAGTGGTCAAGGAAGAGCAGCTGAGTGCAGGGAGGCCACCGGTCGGGTCTGATGTGGAAAGCATGTGCAGCTGGCCTGGGCCGCCCCACAAGATGCATGTGGGCGTGAGAAGCGGCGGTGCTGTGTGCTTGGGTGCTGCCGTGTGCTTGGCTCTGGGAAGCCGCGTGACTGTGTAGGGGTGTCTTCCCCAGGTGTTCCACACAGCCTCTCTGGTGTACCCATTGGACGATGAGCCTCCCGTCTTGACCACCTTCTCCAGCTGCCTGAGACCCCAAGCCTGCTGGGCTCCTGCTGAGGCGGCCAGGTTGATTGTCATGCACCCAGATGGCAATAGCATGCAGCTGGTGGTCAGCACCTATGAGCTAAGGGCCAAGAAGTCCAAGCAAGAAGTGGAGATTGTGGGTAAGGGTCCCTGTGCTGGTCCCAGCAGGCCAGCAGGTGTGTCCCCACCACTGCAGCATGACTCTTTGCCAGTTTCCCTTTGGGAAAGACTCAGGAGATGGTAGAGTGGCCTCCTGCTGTGATTTGATGCACTGGTTGAGTAGTGGTGCACTTGGTTTGAGTTTGGCACCCTGTGTGGCCCTGGCATTCAGATGCTCTTAGCCTGCCCTCTCCTGACTTACCTTTCTGCCTCCATTACTCTGATTGCCCTTTCCTCCAATGAAAGGCCCTCTACTCTATTTCCCAGGCCTTGCATTGCTCCCCCAAACCTTCCTTACGATTCTCCCATGTTTTCTATTGTATTCTACCCATTTGTTTTCATGTCCATAATTTGACCAACATTTGCACTCTGAGATTCCTGGCAGCTGAGGGAAAATGCAAAAAAAAAAAAAAAAAAAAAAAAAAGAACGTGTGTAACACATCCTGTGACTGATATGGGAAAACATGGAATCTTCACAAGGACATTTTTTTTTTCTTGGTCAAAAGGAATCCTACACAGTACAAAGGACAGTTTCCTCAGCAGTAATTTTTAGCAGATGTCATCCATGTCACATAGGTGTCCTGTGGCCATTTCTGACATGACCTAGACATACCTGGGAGGAAGCACAGAAGGAAGAGAGCCGCATTTCTTCATAGTCCAAGTTGGTATCCCTGTCCCAAAATATTTACACCTGGAAGTGTTTTGATTCTTGGATTTTCCACCTTGATTTTGGAATGTTTACCTGATATACAGTGAGTTATCTTGGGCATGGGACCTAAGACTAAACAGAAGATTAAAGTGTTTCATATATGTTTTAAACCTATGACCTAATAATAATCCCATAAGGACTTTATTTAATAAGTGCTCTAAGTCATTTTGTACGTGTTAATCCATCAGAGGTCAAGCGTGGCGTTTTCTGTTTGTGCCTCATCATGTTGACACAGTGTTAGATTTTGGATATTTGGGTTAGAGCTATTCAACCCTTCCTCCGTGTTGCGTGTTGTGCTAGTCGCTTCCACACACACAGAGGACATTGAGTCTTGCTGCTGCTCGTCAGTGAGCCATAAGCAGCAGTAGTTTTGAGCTGCCGCCTGGGGGACTTGGTAGAAGAATTGCATGGATTAGGATTGAATGCAGGTCTAACTGCAAAGCTGTTTGTTTTTTCAGTGTACCACATGTCTTAGGTGAGGCCTGTGTCTGTATCAGGGAAACCCACCTGTTTTTCTCTTTTTTAATTTCAAAAAGTACAACAGATTGCCAGCTTCCTGTTGCCAGACAGCGTAAAGCCTCCAAACCTCATGAGGAGCCATGGCTCGCAGGTGCTCCTGCTGGTCTCGGGACTGCAGCTGGTGCTGTTCAGCATCCACGGCCTGCAGCTGGCAGCCTTCCAGGACCACCAGAGGCCCATCACGTCCGTGTGGGTGGTGAGTACCTGCCCCTGCCATGTCATAGCTCCCACCTTTGGTAGTCTACCCCTTGATATTTTTCTCTTTGAAGACTTCTTTCTTTGAAAATCAGAGAAAGAAGACAGAGAAAGAGGTCTTCCATCCACTGAGTCACTCTCCAAGCAGCTGCAATAGGCAGGATTGGTCCAGGATGTAGCCGGGAGCCCATACTTCTAGGTCTTCCTCTTGGGTGGCAGGGGCCCAAGTTCTTGGACCATCTTGTGCTGCTTTCCCAGATCTATTGGCAGGGAGCTGTGTCAGTAGAGGACTCTGTAGTGTGGGATGCCTGTGTTCCAAGTGGTTTAAGCTGCCACATCATGCCGGCCCTCTTGACTTTTCATTTCCAGGACCCAAGCCGAGTAATCACCTCATCGCTTGATCTCTCTTTGCGTGTCTATGTGTGGAAGAAGGAGAACAAGTTCCCGGTCCTCAAGAGCTGCTATCACTTGCTTGGGGGATCTCACCGATGGGCCAGGTAATTGTTTCTGTTCTTCCTTACTTTGCCTATAAAATGACTTTGCATGGCATGCTCAAAAAGTGTTTGACAAGGAAATATTGCAAGGGTGTTCTAGAATTTGAAGACCTAGATAGACCCAGTCAATGGGCAAATGACTGGTCACATTCTGTTCCCTGTTAGGAAACCAGCTTGCTAACCAAGGCTGTGCATCTGTAGTGTGCAAACTACCTCATACAGCTGGCATTGCACCTGTGTTGCAGATGAAAACGAACATATAGATGTGGATGCGTTCCCTAGAGATGGCAGCCAGACCTGTGCTAGGTCCTGATTCTGACTTTATGGAAGAAAACAAGTGTACCTTTCCAGCTCACGTAGTTCATCTCCTTCATCAAAGAAATCATCTGACTCATAGGAATTGACAATTCTAAATTGTGGGGCGCTAGCTTAGAATTGCTGAGATGAGACCAGTCCCCCTGCTCCTCTCTCAGAATTTCCTAGCATGTCTGGAGACAGTGTGACTGAAGCAGCCACTGTCAGGAGGAGCCAGAACCACTGCTCCCACCAGACAGTGTGCCAGCACTTGTTCACTGTTGCAGAGTCAAAGGCCAAGGGAAGGCGAGGTGGGATGGCAGCTGCTGGGGGAAGCTGGGCCCCGCCTCCATGGGAAGGCTTTGACCACTTCCATGTTTGCCTTTTCTCCCCTTGACACCCAGCCTGGCCCTTCTCTTTGCAGTGGGTACATGCATGTGGAAAGTGACAGCATGAGTATCGTAGGCATAGAAGCCAGAAGCGTTGGAACGAGTGTTCTGAGGTCATTCTGCTTCAAAGTGGAGCGTGGCTGAGAGGACTGCACCATATCCAAGATATTTTCACTTTGGTAAAAGGGCTTGTAGAGATACAAAGACTGAATGGGTTATGTCATGGGTATTGGGAAAGGAATGAGAAATGCCTAGATGTCGACACTGTCCCAGGCACCGGCAATGGCTTTGCTCTTGAATTCTGTCAGCAAGCCAGTGAAACAGGTGCTATTGTTCCTGCTTTTTACACAAGGAACACAGAATGAGAGAAGGAGCCTGTTAGTAGCCCATCTTGGAGCTGCTGAGCAGCTTGCACAAGCCCATAGAGACAGTAAGAGACAGAGAATGGGTAACTTAAGTGTGTGGGTACTGACAAGTGCACATTGAATGTACTGGGATTATGATGTGTTGTTGTTGTTGTTGTTGTCCAATTCTGTAGTTAAATACATATTTTTCTCTAATCTGTCTTGTGTGCTTTTGTTCACATGAACACGTAGTTTTTGCTGCTGCAGCATTGGTAACTATGGTACTGCTTGATGACTTAAGGTCTGCCATTCTTGCTTTAGCCTCAATGGCCCTGCCTGGAATTGGTCAGCATAGGTACTTTGCTTGGGCTAATGAGAATTTCCCAATTGTTAGTTGTAAGCAAAATTGTTAGTTGTAAGGGCTGGGCCGAGGCTGATCCAGGGCTAGGCCGTGGCTGATCCTGGGCTGGGCCATGGCTGGGCTGGGCTGGGCTGGGGCTTGGCCGGGGCAGGGCAGATCTGGGCAGGGGCTGGATCCAGGCATGGGCTGGGTCTAGTCCGGGGCTGGGTCAGGGCTTGGCCGGGACTGATCCAGGACTGGTCCGAGGCTGATTTTGGTCTGGGCCAGGGCTGGGCTGCAGCTGAACCATGGCTGGTTGGGGCGGGGCTGGGCTGGGGCTGCATTGGGGCTGGGCAGGGGTTAGGATGGGGCTGGGTTGGGGTTGGGCCACACTGGGCTGGGGCTGGTCGGGGCTAGGCAAGGGCTGTGTTGAGGCTGGGCCGGTGCTGGGCAGGGGCTGGGTCGAGGCTGGGCAGGGCTGGGCTGGGGCTGGGCTGGGGAGAACTGGGCTTTGACGGGGCTGGTCTGGGGCTGGTCTGGGGCTGGTCTGGGGCTGGTCTGGGGCTGGTTCGGGGCTGATCCAGGGCTGGGTAGGAGCTGACCATGGCTGGTCCGGGGCTGATTCAGGGCTGGGTCGGGTTCGGAGCCGGGGTTGGGCCAGGGCTAATCCAGGGCTATTGCAGGGCTGGGCAGGGACACAGCATGGTCTGGCCGGGGCTTGGCCAGGGCTGATCCGGGGCTGGACCGGGGCAGAGCTGGGGCTGGGCTGGGGCTGGGCAGGGGCTGAGAAGGGGCTGAGCCGGGGCTGAGCCAGGGGTGGGCCGGTGGTGGGCCGAGGCTGGGCCGGGGTGGGCCCGGGCGGGGCCGGGGCTGAATCAGGGCTGGCAGGGGCTGATCCAGGGCTGGGCCGGGGTTGGGCTGAGGCTGGGCTGGGGCTGGGCAGGGGCTGAGCCAGGGCTGATCCAGGGCTGGGCTGGGGCTGAGCAGGGGCTGGGCAGGGGCTGCGCAGGGGTGGAGCAGGGGCTGGGGTGAGGCTGGGCCGGGGCTGGGCCGGGGTTGAGCAGGGGCTGAGCCAGGGCGGATCCGGGGCTGGGCTGGGGCTTGGCAGGGGCTGGGCAGGGGCGGAGCTGGGGCTGTGCTGGGGCTGGGCCGGGGCTGGGCTGGGTCTGGGCCGAGTCTGGGTTGGGTCTGGGCAGGGGCTTTCTGGGGCTGATATGGGGCTGGACTGGGGATGATCTGGGGCTGGGCAGGGGCTGGGCTGGGGCTGGGCTGGGGCTGGGCTGGGGCTGAGCTGGGGCTGAGCCAGGGGTGGGCTTGGGTTTGGCCGGGGCTCGGCAGGGGCTGTGCCGGGGCTGATTCAGGGCTGGCAGGTGCTAATCCATGGCTGGGCCGGGGCTGATACACACAGTACATTCTTATTATTTATAGACATCCCTTCTTCCCCCTGTTCCATGGAACCTGATCATCAGCAGTTGGGTTGTTTCTCTTCGCAGGCAGCCTGTGCTGAGGGGAACCTCTACGCTCTGATGCTGCCTCAGCTGCAGCTGGTCTCCAGAGTGACTGCATTTCCCAATGTTCCCGTGCAGCTCCTGTCTTCTCCTGACTGCCAGTGGGTGTTTGCGTCAAGTCAGAATTCAGACCTTGAGCCGAAGGTCAGTGCTTTGTGAGCCCTTCTCGTTGGAGCCTGGCTTCCTGGGAGGAGGAAAAGGCTCTGTACTCCAGGAGTTGTGAGCTGTGGACTCAAGGCAGCTGCTTGTGCAGGAGCATAGGCACAGCCTGGCGGGTGGAGCCTGCTGGAGTGTTGCTCACTGTGAGTTGCATTCTGTCCTTTGCCCAGGTCTGTTCACCCTAGCAGAGTCCACTCCTGGACCTGGCTCATGCCACTGCAGCCTGTGCTTTTTGGCTGTGAGTCGGCTGAGTAGGGGTCGATTCAGAACAGTTGGGGGTCCGAGGATCTTGGTGGAACTTCTCAGGAACTGCTTGAGTGTCTGAAAGTTAGGAGGGGTGGGCAGGTCAGGTGTGGAGAATATCCTGGTGGCACGGAAGGTGCGTGCACTGATGCAGAAGGCAGTGTTGCAGCTGGGCTGTGTTCCTTGTGTTGCATTTGTGAGTGGGTGCCTCATCCCCATCCTCTGCGTGCCCGGGAGTTAGAGTTCTGACTCCATGTAGACACACACGCCTGTTCATGTGCAGGAGGCGAGCTGCCTGATTGACGACAGGAAGCAGACTGCTGGCTGTAGTGTGTCAAAGAAGGCGGTCAGAGCAAGGAGAGTGGCAGGGCTGGAAGGGCTGAGAGCTTCATCAGGCCTGCAAGTGAGGCGTGAGTGGTCAAGGAAGAGCAGCTGAGTGCAGGGAGGCCACCGGTCGGGTCTGATGTGGAAAGCATGTGCAGCTGGCCTGGGCCGCCCCACAAGATGCATGTGGGCGTGAGAAGCGGCGGTGCTGTGTGCTTGGGTGCTGCCGTGTGCTTGGCTCTGGGAAGCCGCGTGACTGTGTAGGGGTGTCTTCCCCAGGTGTTCCACACAGCCTCTCTGGTGTACCCATTGGACGATGAGCCTCCCGTCTTGACCACCTTCTCCAGCTGCCTGAGACCCCAAGCCTGCTGGGCTCCTGCTGAGGCGGCCAGGTTGATTGTCATGCACCCAGATGGCAATAGCATGCAGCTGGTGGTCAGCACCTATGAGCTAAGGGCCAAGAAGTCCAAGCAAGAAGTGGAGATTGTGGGTAAGGGTCCCTGTGCTGGTCCCAGCAGGCCAGCAGGTGTGTCCCCACCACTGCAGCATGACTCTTTGCCAGTTTCCCTTTGGGAAAGACTCAGAAGATGGTAGAGTGGCCTCCTGCTGTGATTTGATGCACTGGTTGAGTAGTGGTGCACTTGGTTTGAGTTTGGCACCCTGTGTGGCCCTGGCATTCAGATGCTCTTAGCCTGCCCTCTCCTGACTTACCTTTCTGCCTCCATTACTCTGATTGCCCTTTCCTCCAATGAAAGGCCCTCTACTCTATTTCCCAGGCCTTGCATTGCTCCCCCAAACCTTCCTTACGATTCTCCCATGTTTTCTATTGTATTCTACCCATTTGTTTTCATGTCCATAATTTGACCAACATTTGCACTCTGAGATTCCTGGCAGCTGAGGGAAAATGCAAAAAAAAAAAAAAAAAAAAAAAAAGAACGTGTGTAACACATCCTGTGACTGATATGGGAAAACATGGAATCTTCACAAGGACATTTTTTTTTTCTTGGTCAAAAGGAATCCTACACAGTACAAAGGACAGTTTCCTCAGCAGTAATTTTTAGCAGATGTCATCCATGTCACATAGGTGTCCTGTGGCCATTTCTGACATGACCTAGACATACCTGGGAGGAAGCACAGAAGGAAGAGAGCCGCATTTCTTCATAGTCCAAGTTGGTATCCCTGTCCCAAAATATTTACACCTGGAAGTGTTTTGATTCTTGGATTTTCCACCTTGATTTTGGAATGTTTACCTGATATACAGTGAGTTATCTTGGGCATGGGACCTAAGACTAAACAGAAGATTAAAGTGTTTCATATATGTTTTAAACCTATGACCTAATAATAATCCCATAAGGACTTTATTTAATAAGTGCTCTAAGTCATTTTGTACGTGTTAATCCATCAGAGGTCAAGCGTGGCGTTTTCTGTTTGTGCCTCATCATGTTGACACAGTGTTAGATTTTGGATATTTGGGTTAGAGCTATTCAACCCCTCCTCCGTGTTGCGTGTTGTGCTAGTCGCTTCCACACACACAGAGGACATTGAGTCTGCTGCTGCTCGTCAGTGAGCCATAAGCAGCAGTAGTTTTGAGCTGCCGCCTGGGGGACTTGGTAGAAGAATTGCATGGATTAGGATTGAATGCAGGTCTAACTGCAAAGCTGTTTGTTTTTTCAGTGTACCACATGTCTTAGGTGAGGCCTGTGTCTGTATCAGGGAAACCCACCTGTTTTTCTCTTTTTTAATTTCAAAAAGTACAACAGATTGCCAGCTTCCTGTTGCCAGACAGCGTAAAGCCTCCAAACCTCATGAGGAGCCATGGCTCGCAGGTGCTCCTGCTGGTCTCGGGACTGCAGCTGGTGCTGTTCAGCATCCACGGCCTGCAGCTGGCAGCCTTCCAGGACCACCAGAGGCCCATCACGTCCGTGTGGGTGGTGAGTACCTGCCCCTGCCATGTCATAGCTCCCACCTTTGGTAGTCTACCCCTTGATATTTTTCTCTTTGAAGACTTCTTTCTTTGAAAATCAGAGAAAGAAGACAGAGAAAGAGGTCTTCCATCCACTGAGTCACTCTCCAAGCAGCTGCAATAGGCAGGATTGGTCCAGGATGTAGCCGGGAGCCCATACTTCTAGGTCTTCCTCTTGGGTGGCAGGGGCCCAAGTTCTTGGACCATCTTGTGCTGCTTTCCCAGATCTATTGGCAGGGAGCTGTGTCAGTAGAGGACTCTGTAGTGTGGGATGCCTGTGTTCCAAGTGGTTTAAGCTGCCACATCATGCCGGCCCTCTTGACTTTTCATTTCCAGGACCCAAGCCGAGTAATCACCTCATCGCTTGATCTCTCTTTGCGTGTCTATGTGTGGAAGAAGGAGAACAAGTTCCCGGTCCTCAAGAGCTGCTATCACTTGCTTGGGGGATCTCACCGATGGGCCAGGTAATTGTTTCTGTTCTTCCTTACTTTGCCTATAAAATGACTTTGCATGGCATGCTCAAAAAGTGTTTGACAAGGAAATATTGCAAGGGTGTTCTAGAATTTGAAGACCTAGATAGACCCAGTCAATGGGCAAATGACTGGTCACATTCTGTTCCCTGTTAGGAAACCAGCTTGCTAACCAAGGCTGTGCATCTGTAGTGTGCAAACTACCTCATACAGCTGGCATTGCACCTGTGTTGCAGATGAAAACGAACATATAGATGTGGATGCGTTCCCTAGAGATGGCAGCCAGACCTGTGCTAGGTCCTGATTCTGACTTTATGGAAGAAAACAAGTGTACCTTTCCAGCTCACGTAGTTCATCTCCTTCATCAAAGAAATCATCTGACTCATAGGAATTGACAATTCTAAATTGTGGGGCGCTAGCTTAGAATTGCTGAGATGAGACCAGTCCCCCTGCTCCTCTCTCAGAATTTCCTAGCATGTCTGGAGACAGTGTGACTGAAGCAGCCACTGTCAGGAGGAGCCAGAACCACTGCTCCCACCAGACAGTGTGCCAGCACTTGTTCACTGTTGCAGAGTCAAAGGCCAAGGGAAGGCGAGGTGGGATGGCAGCTGCTGGGGGAAGCTGGGCCCCGCCTCCATGGGAAGGCTTTGACCACTTCCATGTTTGCCTTTTCTCCCCTTGACACCCAGCCTGGCCCTTCTCTTTGCAGTGGGTACATGCATGTGGAAAGTGACAGCATGAGTATCGTAGGCATAGAAGCCAGAAGCGTTGGAACGAGTGTTCTGAGGTCATTCTGCTTCAAAGTGGAGCGTGGCTGAGAGGACTGCACCATATCCAAGATATTTTCACTTTGGTAAAAGGGCTTGTAGAGATACAAAGACTGAATGGGTTATGTCATGGGTATTGGGAAAGGAATGAGAAATGCCTAGATGTCGACACTGTCCCAGGCACCGGCAATGGCTTTGCTCTTGAATTCTGTCAGCAAGCCAGTGAAACAGGTGCTATTGTTCCTGCTTTTTACACAAGGAACACAGAATGAGAGAAGGAGCCTGTTAGTAGCCCATCTTGGAGCTGCTGAGCAGCTTGCACAAGCCCATAGAGACAGTAAGAGACAGAGAATGGGTAACTTAAGTGTGTGGGTACTGACAAGTGCACATTGAATGTACTGGGATTATGATGTGTTGTTGTTGTTGTTGTTGTCCAATTCTGTAGTTAAATACATATTTTTCTCTAATCTGTCTTGTGTGCTTTTGTTCACATGAACACGTAGTTTTTGCTGCTGCAGCATTGGTAACTATGGTACTGCTTGATGACTTAAGGTCTGCCATTCTTGCTTTAGCCTCAATGGCCCTGCCTGGAATTGGTCAGCATAGGTACTTTGCTTGGGCTAATGAGAATTTCCCAATTGTTAGTTGTAAGCAAAATTGTTAGTTGTAAGGGCTGGGCCGAGGCTGATCCAGGGCTAGGCCGTGGCTGATCCTGGGCTGGGCCATGGCTGGGCTGGGCTGGGCTGGGGCTTGGCCGGGGCAGGGCAGATCTGGGCAGGGGCTGGATCCAGGCATGGGCTGGGTCTAGTCCGGGGCTGGGTCAGGGCTTGGCCGGGACTGATCCAGGACTGGTCCGAGGCTGATTTTGGTCTGGGCCAGGGCTGGGCTGCAGCTGAACCATGGCTGGTTGGGGCGGGGCTGGGCTGGGGCTGCATTGGGGCTGGGCAGGGGTTAGGATGGGGCTGGGTTGGGGTTGGGCCACACTGGGCTGGGGCTGGTCGGGGCTAGGCAAGGGCTGTGTTGAGGCTGGGCCGGTGCTGGGCAGGGGCTGGGTCGAGGCTGGGCAGGGCTGGGCTGGGGCTGGGCTGGGGAGAACTGGGCTTTGACGGGGCTGGTCTGGGGCTGGTCTGGGGCTGGTCTGGGGCTGGTCTGGGGCTGGTTCGGGGCTGATCCAGGGCTGGGTAGGAGCTGACCATGGCTGGTCCGGGGCTGATTCAGGGCTGGGTCGGGTTCGGAGCCGGGGTTGGGCCAGGGCTAATCCAGGGCTATTGCAGGGCTGGGCAGGGACACAGCATGGTCTGGCCGGGGCTTGGCCAGGGCTGATCCGGGGCTGGACCGGGGCAGAGCTGGGGCTGGGCTGGGGCTGGGCAGGGGCTGAGAAGGGGCTGAGCCGGGGCTGAGCCAGGGGTGGGCCGGTGGTGGGCCGAGGCTGGGCCGGGGTGGGCCCGGGCGGGGCCGGGGCTGAATCAGGGCTGGCAGGGGCTGATCCAGGGCTGGGCCGGGGTTGGGCTGAGGCTGGGCTGGGGCTGGGCAGGGGCTGAGCCAGGGCTGAGCCAGGGCTGGGCTGGGGCTGAGCAGGGGCTGGGCAGGGGCTGCGCAGGGGTGGAGCAGGGGCTGGGGTGAGGCTGGGCCGGGGCTGGGCCGGGGTTGAGCAGGGGCTGAGCCAGGGCGGATCCGGGCTGGGCTGGGGCTTGGCAGGGGCTGGGCAGGGGCGGAGCTGGGGCTGTGCTGGGGCTGGGCCGGGGCTGGGCTGGGTCTGGGCCGAGTCTGGGTTGGGTCTGGGCAGGGGCTTTCTGGGGCTGATATGGGGCTGGACTGGGGATGATCTGGGGCTGGGCAGGGGCTGGGCTGGGGCTGGGCTGGGGCTGGGCTGGGGCTGAGCTGGGGCTGAGCCAGGGGTGGGCTTGGGTTTGGCCGGGGCTCGGCAGGGGCTGTGCCGGGGCTGATTCAGGGCTGGCAGGTGCTAATCCATGGCTGGGCCGGGGCTGATACACACAGTACATTCTTATTATTTATAGACATCCCTTCTTCCCCCTGTTCCATGGAACCTGATCATCAGCAGTTGGGTTGTTTCTCTTCGCAGGCAGCCTGTGCTGAGGGGAACCTCTACGCTCTGATGCTGCCTCAGCTGCAGCTGGTCTCCAGAGTGACTGCATTTCCCAATGTTCCCGTGCAGCTCCTGTCTTCTCCTGACTGCCAGTGGGTGT